GGTGTCAGAAGCCACTCAGATAAGTTTTAAGTCATAGTGTTACAGTTGGGAGCTCCCTTACAGATAGAACATTTCTAGTTACAGTGCTTGATTTCACAGATGAGGGGAAGTGGCTTTCTTCAAGATGGACCACTGGGCAGGGATTGGCTGGGATGGCTGGGGAGATGGGTCCTGACCCCTACCTGCTGTCAGGTCTATGCTCATGATTTCTCAGGTTTTGGGGAGAGTAAGCAAAGGGGACAGTGGATTTATTTTTTGTTTAAAAGTGAATTGTTACTGAGTTTATTTAAAAAACAGATTATGGTTTAACACATTTACCTTTACATTCTCCTATTGGAAAAAGAGATGCCTGTTTCTTTGGAGCAGTGAAACCTGTACTTACCTGTTTGCAGCCGGAGAGTTGCATTTCCCTCCTGGAAATGTGAAGACAGGTGTGAACTTTTCCTTTCCCCATGAAAACAGTCTCCTGGCCAGCTTTTAATAATATCACAATTGGCTATTTTTCTCATGAATCTTTTTAGTCCATTCACACCTTCCTAAAAAGGAGTTGTGGGCCTGCCTGTTCTCACAGCTCTAGCTTTAATCGCACCCCCACACCTCCCCTTGTGCTGTTGGACTCTAGACCTACCGTGTCAGAGGCAGAAGGACCTCAGGACTTACAGTCCAAACCCTTGGCTTGCAGTTAAAGGGGGTGAGGCCTGGTGGGAGGAAGTGCTCTGGCTGCAGCACCAGTTCTCACACCCAGGCCCCCGACTGTGTTTTCTTGCCTCCGTTCAGCGATCCCTGAATCAGCTCGTCCTCACTTGCGTGGCTTTAAAAAATACAGATCCTTGGGCTAAGGCCCAGAAACTCAGGTGTTTGAAAGGCTGCCTGTTCTAGGGATTCTAGTAGTTGGGCCTATGTAGAAACAACTATGGTGAATGGGAGCTATTAGATGCCTGCGCACCTCTATTTGTTCTGTCGTAAGTGTGTGAAGGTCAGTGGAGGTCTGAGTCCTTTTGTCACAGGGCTCCCTCGTGCTCAGGGCAGCCAGTAAGTATTTGATTGGTCCTTGTAGAGTGAGTGAGCCCCAAAGGCATGCCAGGTGCCCACTAACTGGGGCAGGCTGGGAACAGTGAAACGAAGCTATTACGCTTCATTGGCTTGTGGTGTCCCAGTCTTGGTCTGAGCTAATCCGTAAGAACAGCAAAGAGAATTTTTTAAAGAGTAGATTATTAAGCAGAGGGAGGACAGAGACAACATTACAATTAGGTTTTCATTAACTTCATTAACTAAGGCAAAGATAGGTTTATGTGTTAAACTCCCACATCAACCTATGCATTCTCTAGAGGTGCGGTGTGTATATACCTGGGGAACAGTAGTCACGGTCATGGAAAAGCACGCATGGCATTTAGTTAGATTGAAGAATTTTTACTGACCGGTTTTGTTCTTATTTTAGAAATAAAATTTAAGTTCATTCCAATTTTTGTTTTTAAAACATTTCTCTCAGATACAGACCAGCAGCATATACTGATACTCTAGGCAATCAGAAACTCTCCTGTCTTACTGAAATGAAAGCACAACTCCCCTACTAAGTGAGGCTACTAGGGCAAAAAGATTTTTCCGCTAAATGTGGCCAGTATGGAAAATAGGCGTTATACTCATTAGAACCTCATTTCCTTGCATGGGTTCAGGCATCTTTATTTAAAGTACTTTGACTTGGGTCTAAGATGGTTTCATTCTAAAATTGTGACATAGTATATAACAAGAAGAACCTCATTATTTTTAATCTATGGAGTTTAAAAATCTGTTGTTAGCTCCATTATCTGACTTATTTATGAATTCCCATTACACCTGGTGGGGTACAGTTAAGTCTGGTTCCTCCTATGTTAGAACTTTCAATATGGCTTTGGCTCTTGGCTTCAGTTGGGGTAGCATGTGAAGGAGACCTGAATTAAACTACCATCTACGCTGTCAACTGCGAGCGCATGCGCGCGTGTATGTGTACATGTACGCATGTATGCAGCGGGGGTGTGCGAGCAAAACTAAACTCAGTCACCATCGTCATCCGCAGACAAGGCAGAATGTTTATTTTAAAAGGTTTTCAGTGTTTTGTCGGGCCTTACAGAAACACTGCCTTTTGGAGTTCGATTTCAGTGACTGACTGCATATTCTGTATATACACCTGTGCCCCATATTACTTTGGGATTTTGTTACCTTCAGCAAGTGTTACCTTTGGTAAGTGTGATCTGGGGGCAAATACCAAGACAATAAAAATTACAAAACATGTGTTCTTTTCTTCAGCCTTTGCACATGGTTTGGGGGTGGGGGGGTATGTTTTAAGCCCATGGACCTCTGGTTTTTTGGTGGGACCATCCTCACGTTTATCACGCAGGACCATACAGGCCCACTGTATTTCTGTGTACCATTGCAAATACGAGCGTCAGCTTCCATCCAAGTCTCAAAACAATTGCTTACCTTGGAAACTCAAAGATAATTTAAAAGGAGAGTTGGGTGCCTGAGTGGCTTAGTTGGTTAAGTGTCCAGCTCTTGATTTCAGCTCAGCTCTCTGCTCTGGGCGAGGAGCCTGCCTGCTTAAGATGCTCCCTTTCCCTCTCCCTCTGTCCCTTCCCACCCTGTTTGCTCATGGGAGTGTGCTCGAGAGCAAGTGCATGTGCACACTTAATGCGCGTTCTCTCTCTCTGTCTCTCTCAAAAAGGGAGGGTTGAGATTTAGATAACTGTTCAATTTTGATTTCTTCTGATCCTAAATTTCTGATTCGTAATTGCTCAAGTCTGATGTCTTTTAAAGTCCTGAATAAGTGGACCAAAATATGTATATAAATGGTCCTGTCATCTGAGTAAAAGTTGAATTTTAAACACTGATACAAGTTTATGCTGTATTTCATTATTAAAGATCTATAAAATTGAAAGTAATCATAACAGACTCTACAAACATGGAACTCCTCAACCTGCTTCTGATGAAGTCAGCACCCTGCTGTGGTCCTTAGTCTGGGTAGCAACCTCCTTTCTCAGCGTGTGGAAGTGGTGGGAGGCACTTTTAGGTCCCTGGTGACTGAGGACACCTGTGTATAGTAGGTAGGCTCAGGGATGCACTTGAGATAGTCTTGCAGAAGGAACACCTGCACCCAGAGTGCTGGTCATGCCCCGTGTGAGAAACACTAGTGAGGGTAGTCACAAGTCCAGGACCCAGCACAGCCGTGACGCAGAGCAGCTCGGCTGCGGGCCACCAACATACTGCTCTCCCACGTGTTGTTTAGGTTCATGACTGCTCTCATCTCAGCCTCTTAGCTCAGGATTGTAGAGCATACACCATACGTGAATATACACATATATTGATAAAATTAACTTGACTTTTAATTTTAGTGACATTTTTGAAAAGAAGAAAAATTCTGATGTGTCCTCAAATCAAATCTGGGAATTACACTCAGCAACTGAGCCACCCAGGTGCCCCTGGAGCTGCTTTTTCATCTCTGATATGTGCATCTGGAGCCATAATTGAGAAAGCTGTATCTTTTGTGCTTCATAACGGCCACTTTGTGACTTTTTTTAAAAATTATTGCCCGCAAGAAAAGAAACTGAAGTTTTTATATTTTAATATAATTGAAGAATTTAAAATATGCCTCATCTTTGTAAACTTGAGATTTACAAGTTTGGGGAGACTTTTGTTGGAGGGGATTGGAGGGGAGACTTTTCTTGAAATTCTAGAAAATTATACCTCACTTCTCTTTACTGTCACCCAGAGAACCTTTAAAGGAGGGTGGATTTGTGTCATAGTATCTCTTAGTTAATCAGTCTTGAGGGTTAGAAGAAACAATCCGTGAAGGCAGATTTTGTTTCTAAAGTCAGGACTAATGTGGGCACTGGATGTGTGTATTGCACTGGCTGGACACTTGGGCCTCTGTCAGCTAAGTTTTAGTCCTGTTACTCTGTCCTCTTGATATTTGCATCCAAGCAGGAAGATTTCAGGGTATATGTCTGTCTTGCTACTTATGTATTTTACTTGAAAAATGATTAAAAGCAGACATTTCTTTTTCTTTTCTTCTCTCTTTTTTTTTTTTTTTTTTTTTTAAAGCAAACTTTTCTTAATCATAAGCATTAGTGGGTATGCTGTTTTCCTTTGGGACAGTGATTTAAAGTAGATTTTTCTGTTTTCCATAGGCTGGTAAATTTGAATTTTCTCAAGAGGTAAATTTGAACTACCCTGAAGTGAATTTTTTAAAAAACAAAAAGCTGAGTGGGAATTAGAGACCTCTTTAAGGCCCCTCCTCACCCCTGCCTCCATTCCTTATGACCTGCCCATTCCAGGATACGTCCATCCCCACATTTTACTTCTGTCCTCTGCCTACAGGCTCTCACGGGTTTGTAGTGAGGGGGTACCATGTTTTTTGTCACGTCTTTCATTCCTGAAGCAGTTTTCCGTGTTCCTACCACCACCATCACTGGCGTTTGAAATTACTGCAGGATACTCTCTCTGATGCGCCTTCAGTTGTACGACCATTTCTCTTTTCACTGTTTAGTTTCCATTGTTTCTAAACATGCTGGTATGTTGCTCCTTCTCTCCTCCTTTCACTTGCCGCCTTGGTCGGAATCCTTGAGGAGGCTCACCGGCCCACTGGTGCTTCCTTGGCCGTTGGAAGCGTCCATAGGAGCTGGTACATGGGAAAATACGCTAATGGTTATCGAAGTATTTTTGTAGAAAAACCACCTAGACTGAAGTGTGAATGTGTCTTGTTAAAGCAGGGAGGGCATACATATCTGAGTCCACACTGTGTGCGGTGCTGGGACTTAGCAGCTGTCTGCCGTTGGCTTTGGTGCGTGAGTGTGTGTGTGTGTGTGTGTGTGTGTGTGTGTGTGAGTGTGACAGCATGAGAATGGATGTTAGTGAGGAATTTACTCTTAACCGTGTTGCTAAGTAGCTTTGAGTTTTTGTGGAAGGCTCAGATTATTACAAGGAAGGAACATTCAGTTAAGTATAATTCCTTTTGTTTTGTTTTTTAGATCAACGTCCGAGTTACCACCATGGATGCAGAGCTGGAGTTCGCCATCCAGCCAAATACAACAGGAAAACAGCTTTTTGATCAGGTTGGTCTCTATGAGCTTAGGAGAGAGAATTCCCAATTAGGAAAAATACTTCTGCAAATCTGAAGCATTTTGTTGAGTGTATTGGTTGCTGCTTGCTTCTTTTCATAGGGGAGGACATTTTCCCTCCTTTCAGGGGGTTCACATGTTGTAAACACTCACAGCCCTGTGAGAGGAAATTCAGGAAAAGCTCTGAAGTCTTTATCAGCACAGTGCCATATCCAGAAACTCTGACTCCCATCCCTTCACCCCAAGGGTCACCCCAGGCGTCTCCTGCCATCTGGTCGGCAGGTCAGGGTGCAGCGAGGGTCAGACACTGCCTGAGGGCCTGGCTGGAACCCAGCAGGTCGTAGCTTCCATGTCCAGCTGCAGCATCTGTGAGCTCACTCAGGTGTCAGCAGATGCTCTTCCGTGAGCTGGGCACCAAAGCACGTCTACATTCCGAGTGTTTCTTCCTGAGACCTGAAGGTTAATGTAGAGTTTGGATAGTCATGAGCCACCGAGAAAGCTGGCTGTGATAACTCTTCCGTGGAGCAGTTCCAAGCTTTAGAACAAGATCTTCTGCTCTGGGGAGAAGGATCCAAGAGGGCAACAGGAGCAGGCATGAGTTTACAGGTCCCTTGAGCTATAGCCTGCCTCGCTGAGAGGCCCTGCTCATAAGGGAGGTGATGTTCTGTACCCTAGCACCAAACCCAGAAATGGGAGTGGGTGCCAATTAGGAAATGTGGGAGGTAGAATTCCAGCAGATTTAGAAGGTATTCGTGATTCCCTTCTGTGCTTGATGATATAAACCTCCTTCTTAGCCCAAAAGTGAGCACCCAGTGGGCACACACACATACACACACACACATACATACATCCCAGTTCCGGTGTGTGCACGTCAGGCCTCCTGCCCTAGGAGGGGACACCTTCTCCCCTCTCCCTCTGCTGCTGTGATGAGGTCATCCCTGGCTCTGCCTTACCCAATAAGGATAAAGGCATTTACTGCGGTGGGTGAGGCTGGACTTGGGACAAAAATCTAAAGGTTTCGCCTGAAAGACAATCCGGAAGTAAGTTAAATGGAGCCAGTTGAATGCCATGTGGGTCAGTGGTTAGAACAGGGATGGGTAGGAGGCCCTCGATCACCCCAGAGTTCTTGCATATAAATGAGTGCTAGGCTGCCCTCAAGCAATTTTTAGAGCAGAGATGGAAACTCTAGGTTAGGTGGGTTAGAGTTTTAATGTCTCAGCCACTTTATTGCCCTTGCCTCCGTCTGCCTTGTTCCATTCACATGTTACTTCTCAGAAATACAGGAAGAGGCCATCAGGAGTTCATGGTATTTTTTCAGGGTAGAAAGGCTGCTATCTCTTAGAAGATCCTTGTCTGCTCCTTGGGGTCCTTTGGAAGGGGAGAGGAGTGGAGAGAGCTGGAGAAGCCTGCCTGCTTCTTCAAATATTCCAGTCGCATGGTTCAGTTCTGTAGACGTTGTTAACTGCCCACTCGTGTGCTGGGCCCGAAGCTGCGTATTGCCCAGGATTATCTCCACTTCTCCATCCAGGGAGCTGTATGGGTAGAACTCTCTGTGTTCCTAAATGCTGAACAGTCACATCTAGTCTGTTGTTCGGACTGGTTTTAAGCCAGGTATTTTTCTTATATTAGATTATCTCCTGCCAGTAGCATGGAGCTAGATTAATGGGTGTACAAAAAATGGACCCTGAACTTAGTAGACACGGGTTATTTAAAAAGTGCTAACTACGTAAATCCACTCAGCATGCCAAGTTTTGATAAGCTCAGTATCTAAATTATCCCAAAGCTTGTTGGTCGCGTGAACGATCCTGTTCAAGCACCTGTTACTATTCCCCACCCCAGGACGTCAAGCCCCCTGAATCCCACTTTGACCTCTCTGTTCCCAAGTCATGTTTCCTGCCTTAATCTTGGCCAGCCCCCGCAAGACAGATAATGACATCCCACCACCAATCATTACTGGGAAGGGAAGTGGTGGGAGACAGAGAGACCCTGAACTCCGCCTTCGGCAACAAGGCCTGGATCACAAGGCTCTTTGACAGAGTTCCCATTGAGTTTTTTACAGTTCGGTGTACCCATCATGAAAAATCCCACATGATCTGAGAACGTTAAAGCTGGAGCCGACCTGGGAAGTGGCTAAGTCTGTGAGGACATCAAGGCCCAGAGAGAGACAAGAATTGCCCAAGGTTCTCTAGCTGGCTGGGGCCGGGGCAGGGGCCGCTCACGCTGTCCAGCCCTCCTTATTTATGCTTGTCTCTTTGAAGATCCGTTTGTTGATCCTTCCATGTCCTCCCAAGGTAACACATGGCACAGAGAACATCCCACCTTCGGGGTAGTCAGGACAGTTCTCAGTGGACACCCTGGGTGCCTTCTGGGGCTCTTTCCCCACACCCCAACCAGGCTGGGCATGTTTTCTTCTTTATGTCTTTAGAGACTGTGTCCTTTCTCTGTTGCTCACCTGATGACCTTCTAGGTCTGGGAAAGTTGTTCATGGGCCAGACTACCAGTCACTAGAACATGGTCCTTAAATGGAATGGGCTGAAAGAGACTTCAGAGATAGATTAGTCTGAACCTTCCCTTCCATCTCGTGAGTTACTTCAGTTTCGTCTGCAGTAACTGACCCGGCCCTGCCCCAGTGCTCTTGGCTTATCCACGCCTTGAATCTCAATGCAGGGATCCCATGGAGGGCCTAGCAGTGCCTCTCCGCCCAAAGTTCCTGAGGTGGCGAGAAGGCGTGACTCAGTGTGCCCATTGTTTCCATCATCAGCTGCCACTTGACTGAGCTAAGTAGACCTGTCCCTGCATTTTCCTTTCCAAAATTGCCATTTAAAACACCACTGAGGCAGAGATAAAGAAATAGACCCCACCCCTGTTCATATTCTGCTTCCATGGTGTATATCAGCTTTAGGGTGAGCTAAGGATATTGGAGGGAATGGTGAGGTGCTTTTTTCCAGGAATATTGGATTTCCCTTGTAAGGAGGGCTTTAGCATTGATTTTTAGAAGGGACTGAAGGAAAGCAGGTTAAATTCAATTGCGCCATTTGGGGGAAGCCATTGGAATAGAAGTAAGGCTTTGAAACATGCTGTAGACAGTTATCCTGGAATGAGATGAAGATGCCACAGAGACACTTAGCAGATCAGGGTGCCTAGGGACAGGCTTGTCACTGAGTGAGTGAGAGCCCTGGGTCGTGACCATGGTGTTGCTCCACAGTCTGTGCTCTGCTTCGTGTAGGGGGCTGGCCACATCATAGAGAGAGAAGAGGCATCTGCATTGTGGCCATGGAAATGAGCGAGAGTGACTGGGGTGGGGAGGGAAGTCAAGCAGATAGGAAATCATTTCAACCAGTTAGGACCCAGGCTAAGGCTACAGTTCAGTGGATGGAATATAGGACTAGATTGCTTACGTATATGGGGCTTTTTTGTGCAACTTTGGAACAATCCAAAGAGGAAGGCAGGGAAGGTTTTATATCCAAATGTTGAGATGGAGATTTATAAGGAGTGAGAAATTTGCAGGATTGGGTACAGAAAACCGGGTCTTCATATCAGCTATCCTAAAAAGACGTAGCAGGGTTCACAGCAGAGTCCAAGTTCTTCCACATCATCCTATGATGGAACCATGGCCCCCCCTTTGGTGTGTGGTGAACAGACCCCCCTGGAGCTCCCGCAAGCATCTGGTCCCCCAGTGGATGAGGAAACTGGCTTAGAGCAGGAGTTTATTTGGAATTTCAGACTTTATTTAAGCAAGTATTTCAGATAGCTGATTTGTCATTTCTCATGTGTTCAGACCTCTTACCCTCTAAATGTGATAGAAGCCCTGCATTTGAAGAATGGTAACCTTTTTATAAAGGCTTAGCATTGTATGTCATGGGACTGAAACTGCAGCAGAGCTCTGGGACTTGGTCGTGGTGATGTTGAACAAGTGTCCCCAGCAGCTTGCTTTTCTGTTTCTGAGACACAAGAATAACCAATGTGGGATTAGGTCTGTAACGGCCCATAGGAGACTTCCTCTGGTACTGTGGAGAATTTATTTATTTATTTTAAAGATTTATTCGTTTAGAGACAAAGCATGCACACGTCTACCTGATGGGGGGCAGTGGGGAGGGTGGGTGGGGGGATGGAGAATCTCAGACAGATTTCCTGCTAAGCACAGAGCCCAGTGTGGCCTTGAGAGCCTGACCCAAACTGAAATCAAGGACGCCCAACCAGCTGAGCCACCCAGGTGACCCTGAGGAGAATTTTAAAATACAAAATCCTTGCTATGACCTAGGGTTGAATTCTACCTTCCTGTATCAGAATTTCAAATTTCTGGAGGTTGGAAGAATTGCAGTCACCCCTTGGCATGTGTGAAGCATAGCCCCCCTATCTCCCTGCTTTCCCTGGTAGCTCACACCGTCTGTCTCCCACCTTTCCAGGGACTGCTGTTTCCCTCTTCCTAGTTAAGCAGAGGCCTATGCAAAATGACTGAGAAGCAGGGACGGGCAACCAGCGGAGACGCGAGGGTTGCTTTGCTTCACTTGGTTGACTTGCAACACCTTTTCCGTGTGGGCACTCCTGACAGGAGACCTTCACACCTGGGACACACACTTCCTGGTGTCCCCGGGTGGGGCCTGATGGTGTGCTAACTCAGCTGGGTGTCTTTCCTTGGGAAAGTTAATGGAGTACAGAGGAGTAGGAGTGAGAAATTACAAGATTTATAAGATCTTGAGGTTTTCTGAGATTTAAAGTTAGTCCTGAATCCTCTCAAGTGCATGTTAAAAATAAATTGTTCCCAGCTTTGGGGGGAATAGCCTCTGCTAGTAGCAGATTGGGTTTCCTGTAAGGTTGGTGTAGGAGAGGTGTGCAGCGCGTTTCTGAGCGGCCAGCACCTCGCTCTCCTGGCTGCTTCAGCCCCTGCCCCCGTCTCTCTCGCACAGGTGGTTAAAACCATCGGCCTTCGGGAAGTGTGGTACTTTGGCCTCCAGTATGTGGATAATAAAGGATTTCCTACCTGGTTGAAACTTGATAAAAAGGTAAGTCAGAGTTAACTATTTACAGGCTGTTGTTTGATTGTTTGTCTGCTCTGTTAGCTTTGAAACTGGAGCACCTCACTCTTTTGTGGTTTGTTCTTACTGTTTGTGTAAAGGTTTTTACAGACAAAAAAGCTTGCAGGTTTCCAGTAAATGGGAGATACTGGTTGGAAACTAGATTTGGCATTTCTCCTTACTTCTCGCTCATTGGGGCATATGATGGTTAATTGTGTAGCTTTTAGTTGACCTTAGTTTCTTTTTCCCCAATGAGATTGTTAATCTTATAAACCATGAATCATTCACTGTTTTGTAAGAACCTGTTACTGCTTTGTTTGAACCTGTGATAGATTATCTTCCAACTCCAAATACTAAATAATTCCATTAACAACTAAAGAAAACCAATAAGCTTAAATGTCTTTTCTCCACACAATTTGAAAATGTCCCTTTTCCCAAACCCTTGTCTTCCTCCCATATTACTATAGTAAGTCTGGGGGCATTTAGGGATCAGAAGGGAGGGAACGTGAGTAGTTTTTAAATGTAAGTTCCATGTCCCACGGCTTGACTGGCCGTGGAACAGATGCCAGGTTCACAGGTCCCTAGGCAGGCTGTTTTTAAATTTGAGTTCTCTGGAATTAGGAACATCTCCCCAGAAGTTAGGGGCCAGCACTAGGTGGCTTGGTGGGTCACCGTTTGCCTGCTGCTGGACTTCAGTTAAGGAGAGCAGTAGGACTTCAGCTGGCCTTTTTTTGTCATATGTGCTAAAAGGTGACTTTGGAGTAAATGTTATCTTCTAAAAATGGGCCTGCAGGTGTCAGCACAGGAGGTGAGAAAGGAGAATCCTCTCCAGTTCAAGTTCCGGGCCAAGTTCTACCCTGAAGATGTGTCTGAGGAGCTCATCCAGGACATCACACAGAAGCTTTTCTTCCTCCAAGTGAAGGAGGGAATTCTCAGCGATGAGATTTACTGCCCTCCTGAGACTGCGGTGCTCCTGGGCTCCTATGCAGTGCAGGCCAAGTTTGGAGACTATAATAAAGAAACACATAAGTCTGGGTACCTCAGCTCTGAGCGGCTGATCCCCCAAAGGTGAGCAAGGGATGTCCAGGCCTGGATGAGAGCAGTGGTTGCATCCTTGAAGGGCATAGGTGGTATGTGTTAGCAGAAGCAGTCAGCAAGCGCAAGGGTAGGTGCTCCTTGAGGCGGGGACTGTAGCACTTTCTAATCTGTGTGCTTCGGCACATGCCCTGGCCTTTAGTAGGTACTGACCTACCATAGCCTTCCCATCAGGCACTGATCTGCCTGTATAGGGTCTGTCGTAAAGAACATAGCAGGAAAGGGGACGGAAGAGCAGCTGTGTTATATACATAATCACATTTCTTAGCTTTCCCTGGTGTATAATGATTTGGCTGCATTAAATCTGGTTTTGTTTTTTTTTTTCACTAATGGTCACATAAGTTAAACCCATCTTGGAAGAAGAGTCCCGTTAAAATATAAAATGCCTTTTAAAAATTTTTCCAGCAAGACTAGATAAGTCTCATTCTAGATCCTAATTCTCAAATTGTTAGTTTCCAAAATGCTGCATATTAGGAAGTATAAACACTCTTTGTGGTGGTTTCATTTGAAAGAAAACTCAAGGTTTGCAGGTGGGTGGTGGCCTGCTGCTTGCTTCTTCTGGCCCTTTGTGGTGACCGTCCTGTGCCTTCTTTGCAATTCAGAGTCATGGACCAGCACAAGCTCACCAGGGACCAGTGGGAGGACCGGATCCAGGTGTGGCATGCCGAGCACCACGGGATGCTCAAGTGAGTGCTGGCTGGCTCCTGTCTCTCCAGAGGGTTGCCTTGGCATTGAGGCCAGATAGGGTCCTCAGGGTGGTTGGCTTCTGGAGCCACTGCCTTGGGCTTCAGCCCCAGCATGGCAGAGCGGTGAAAGGGAATAGTTGCTCGGAGGAGTTATCTTAAAGCCAGGTGTTTGTTCCTGGGTGCTAAAGCCTCCCTTGCTTTTTCCAGAGGAGAGAAGGTCTTGTGTCTGAAGTAATTCTGTTTTAGTCAGGGGGCAGGAGCATTGTCCACAATGGGAAAAAATTGATCCCAAGTGAGAAACACTTGCTATTAATGAAGCAGGAAGGAGGCGTGAAGGAGGAGCGATGTGACCTGTGGCTATTGGGTGTAAGAAATGGCCAGATTCTCTGTTGGCCAAGAACCCTCACCTGGGGCGCCAGCACTTCCGCATGTTCCCCCCAGCAGTTCCTCTACAGTCAGCGTCCTTCGGCTCGCGTCTGTCCCGAGCACCTTTTGGGGAAGGAAAGCGCTCGAGGCCTAAGTGGTGGTTGCTAATGACGTGGACCGTGGGAGTCCCTGCAGCAGCTTGTGGGCAAGGGAAAGACTGCTTCCAGGACCGTCTGAAAGGAAAATCTGAGTCCAGAGAAGCCAGCGTGAGTCAGCTCAGCTCTCAGCAGCTCCCAGTGGTCGGGGCCCAGGAGCTCTCAGGGTCTGGGTGTGAATGGCCACCAGAGGAACAGCAGCGAAGCCAGCAGTCGGCCAGCCTCCCGGAGCTGCCTGTGGGGCTGTATCCTCTGGGGCCACCGGAGTGGTTTTGTGGTTCAGGATCCAGCAGCACGAATGACCGTGTCCTTGTTTGTTCTCCCTGCTAGAGACAGTGCCATGCTGGAATATCTGAAGATTGCTCAGGACCTGGAAATGTATGGAATCAACTATTTTGAGATAAAAAATAAGAAAGGAACAGACCTTTGGCTTGGAGTTGATGCCCTCGGACTAAACATTTATGAGAAAGATGATAAGTAAGTCGAACTTTATAATTTGTCAGTTGGTGAGGTGTTGGGTTGGAAACGAGAAAAAACGGCAACTGTCGACACGGTTTATTTTTAAGTATTTCCCTGGTGGCTTACCAGCCCAGTGTGTGAATCTTTAAGGGCTTTTCGACTGTGAAGTCGCCACATTGTGTCAGAGGTTGGCCCGAGGTGTGCACTGTTCTCTCCTGTCACCATAGCCTGTCCACCAGCACGATGCCAAGCGCTGACCCACGACCCCACAGAGCGGAGCTGCAGGAAGGCCTCCCCGGCCTCCCACTGAGGCCCTGCCACCAGCCGCCGTGGGCACCGGCACACCCACAGATACCACCCAGGCAGTCCTCGCCATGCTGGTGGCTTAAAGTTTGTGCTAATCCAACCAAGAATAGTTACGGTGCTATCAGAGCCCTTAAGATGCATCTGTAAACAGTGGCTTATGTACGGACAATTTAGCTAAATCCTCTGACCCTATGAGAGGTGTCTAATGGCCGCATGTTAGTTGTGTGTGTGCTGAGTAAGGTCTGCGGGAGCAGCAGAGAGCAAGCCAGGCCCTCCCTCCTGGCTGCTTTCGGCTGTGCCCGTGCTGACAAACACTGCGAATGTGCCTGTTCGCTGCCGGCGAGCTAGATGCACAGGGAACAGATCATTCTCGTTCGGTGAGAGCAACTTTTCCATGGTGGTTCCTGTGCCTTTGAGTGTTGGGTCTCCTACATTTCCTCCCCCGCCCCTCCTTTCCGATGCTTGTGCTCTCAGACCCGCAGGAACCCTCTCTCTGGCCTTCCCGAAGGGGCCCCTACTTGGCAGCGGACGCTGTCGCACGAGGAATCTGCCTTTGGTCTCAGTCACGTGTCTTCTTGGCAGAGCCCAGGGTACAGACACCTTTCACTTGGGTGGGACAGGGGCCTGTGTCAGGCCTTCCTAGACCCTCTGTTTGGGGCCAGAATTGGGTGGGGGAGAATCTGTCTCCTGGAAGGCCTGGTCCCAGTCAGGGAAGACTGCAGAGAATCACAGGTGCTCCTCTGAGAACCTAGTCGTGAGTTTCAAGGACTCTTGGTTTGCTGTTTCCCCGTGTGAGCTGCACCCAGTGTTGTGGAGAGGCACGAACAGTCTGGGAGACTCAGGAAACCAGCCCCTGGTCCTCCTGGAGGCCCCTCTGTCGAGGCCAGTGGCTGGTCAGCAGGCTGTGCCTAAAGTGAGAATGCGGTACCCTCGTGGGAGTAGACGTGGGAAACTGCCTCTGTCTCGGAACTCCGTTCTTGAATGACCGGGTTTTGTAACATGGCCGTGGCCGGAGCTGTCTAAACAGGTTTTTCCAGCTACAGGAAACAGCCATAGGCAGGAACTTGCTGATGTCAGTTTGTAACTATCTCCAGCCCACGTAAATGTTAATTTTTTCCAAGTGAAAATTTTGAGTACTGTGGTCCATTCAGTCCCTTCCTGCTGTCTTCCTGTTTCCCCAATTTGCCAGTGAAACTGGTAGTCTTCTCAAAGGGGTCTTCTCCCCCAAGAAAACACTGGGGCGTAGGGCAGTCTCACTTCCTGCCTCCTCCCCGCCCCTGAAGGCATCCTTCTTTTCAGTTAGGAAGAAAGACTTAACCACACATTCAGTCAGTAGGCCTGAGTTCTCCTTTCCAGCAAATATTGACAACTTAGTCACCAGTGTAAGCAGGAGGTGGACTCGAGTCTGAGGAGAGCTGGGGTGACTCTGAGCTGTGTTGAGTGTTGGACACGACCCTCAGCAGGGCATTCGTGGAGTGTGGTTCAAGGGAGAAATTGGATCTATTGAGTGAGTAAGTTGGGCGATAAGGGACTTCGCGCAACTGCAAATAAATGTACCTTTATTATTCTATTTTAGAATCAAATATATCCTGGTTGGGAAATGTCTCTTGAGGTCCCTTTTCACAGGATACATAACCTTATCTGAGTGGGAGCACGTGGGACTAAAAACATTTGTCTTTTTCTGTCTGTAAACCCATAGATGAGAAAAGGAGGAAACTTGGAGGGGGAAGAAATAGGCAGACCCCTTCCCTGCAAGCCGTCATCAGCTTAGAAACAGAGCGTTCAGATTAGCTGTGTTACGTGATCCTACTTGGCATCATCATACCAAAACCAACAAAGACAAAACAGTGAGAGGAACACGCCTTTGTCCCCAAGTTCTTCAGTCCTGTGAGAGCACTCCTTCCCTCCTAAGGCTCTCGCCTCCCACACTCCTGAGTCCTCCAGTCTTCCTGGTCCTCCTGGAGGCTGGACCCTGTGCCAGGGTGGTGCACTCGGGCTCCAGCAGGTAACTCGATGTGCCCTTCAAGGGAGAAGATAACTGGAGAAGGCTGCAGACAATCGGGGGCCAGAACAAGGGCCAGTGTCTTTTTCCCTTGAATTCCTCACTCAAGAGTTGAAAATCACCTACTCTGATTACATTTCTGTCTTAGTAGCTTTACTACATATGTAATAAGCCAGTCGGGATGGTGGCTATTAGAGAACACTGTATAGCACAGTAGTGGTAATGGGAGGTACATACTCTGACATACATGTAGTATATATAGTATCACATGTGTCTGGTAGATACTTTAACATCACATAAGCCAGTCATTTTTTTTTTTTTTAAGATTTTATTTGACAGAGCAGGCGCACGAGCAAGGGAAGCAGCAGATAGAGGGAGAAGCAGACTCCCCACTGAGCAGGGAGCCCAGTATGGGGCTCCATCCCAGGACGCTGGGACCATGACCTGAGCAGAAGGCAGATGCTTAACCGTCGAGCCACCCAGGCATCTCGATAAGCCAGTCATTTAAAGTCACTGCTTCTGGTTTCTGAAATCATACTCCTGGGCAGAATGCTCATTCCAGCATCCTCCCTTGTGTGTGTGACCGCGCCGTGCCGTAGCAGAGTTAGTGGTTACCGACCTGGAGGAGAGGAGAGCAGAAGACAGTGCTTTCAGTTCGTGTGAGTTTTCTTGTATCAGATACGCCAGGACCACCCTTGTCCATTCCTTCTCTCTTTTCTGACCTTTGTGACCCTAACTTGAATGTGAAACCGAATTTTCAAAAAACAAAAAAAAACCCTCCTAGTCTCTTACAGAGACTGTGGCAGAGACTCGTTAGTCCACCGAGAGTAGGAACTTCAGAAGTTCACCTCAGACTGGCAGAGAAGAGTTTGGCCTCTGCGGGTTTGGATGTGCGTGAGGTGGGGGAGCAGCCCGGTGCTGGGCTCAACGCGGCCGGCAGCAGGCACGAGGGGCGAGTTCCTTGAGAGGCTGCCTTGCAGAGCCGTGGACTCCAGCCCGGACTGGCCCCTGCTGACACCAGCCTAGTGTCTTTGCTTCTGTTAAACGGTGTAGGCAGAGCCATCTGGCCCGCAGGGAACTCTACCCACCCACCACCCCAGACTTTTTTTTTTTTTTTTTTTTTTTTTTCTGGATGAAAAATTTCAAAAGATTATATCCTTGGCATTTTGCTACTTTTTCGTCTCTCCCCTGTTGCGTGTCACTGTGTCCTCTGGCCCTCTCTTTCAGACCGATTTCAAAGTAAATTGCAGACATCTGTATACTGTCCCCAAAATGCGTATTATTTACAAGGGCTCAGTATACCTTGTTTATCTTTGGATGTAAAATTTAAGTACAGTGAAGTGCACACTTTCTTCAGTGTTCTCTTGCTGAGTGTAGACAGACACATGCCTGCAACCTGCAGACTCTGGTCAAGATCTTGAAGAACATCATCGTCACCCCCAGCTGCAAATGTTGAATTTAAATTTTTAGCAGCCATGTATTTTTTCATTTTGAAATCATTTCAGACTTTGAAAATGTTCCAAAAGTAGTAAGTACAGAGAATTCCCATCTGTCCTTCACCCACCTTGGGTCTGTGTAATGTTTTCTCATAGTTAGGGTCGAGTTTTCCTATCCGGGCCAGAGGCCCACAGGAGTCTACCATGCGCTCCCAGGGGCCCTCATAAGGCCATACATGATACCAGAACATCTTACTCTGGGTGGTGCTAACTTTGGTTGCTGGTCAAGGCCCTGTCCACTAGACTGCTTTGTGCAGTTCCTGTCTTTCCCTTTGTAGTTGATAAGTGTATTTAAGTATTATTTTTTTTAATTTAATTTTATTTTTTCAGTGTTCCAAGATTCATTGTTTATGTCACCCAGTGTCCATGCAATACATCCCTCCTTAATACCCACCACCAGACTCACCCATCCCTTCACCCTCCTCCCCTCCCAAAACCCTCAGTTTGTTTCTCAGAGTCCACAGTCTCTCATGCTTCGTCTCCCGCTCTAATTCCAATTCACTTTTCTTTTCCTTCTTCTGATGTTCTCCACGTTATTCCTTATGCTCCACAAGTAAGTGAAACTGATAATCGATCGACTCTCTGTTTAACTTCGATAAGTGTATTTAAAGGAGACTCTGAAGCTGTGGAAATATCCTAGTTCTCACAGCCATTCAGCAGTCTTACACAAAACAATTACTACTGTGGTTTTTGAGAAGCGGTGATTTTTTTTTTTTAATCTATTTTACATGTATCCATCTACTGAACATAGCCAATTTCTCTTTGTTTATTCAGTTATTTAGATCAACATGGACTCACGGATACTTTATTCTATGGGCTATAATCTATTATTTTTATTATTTTGTTCAAATTGTTGGGTTTTCCTTGAGGGTCCCTCTCAAGTTGGATCCTAAGCCCTTTTGCTATGATCCCATTATTTTTTGAGTACTTCTTTACTTTCTGGCACCTCGAGATGTTCCAGGATCATCTTGTACTTCCCTGTTCCAGCCCCGGAATCCACTATTTCTCTAAAGAGCTCTGGTCCCATTTATTGGAGAATCCCACTTTTTAAAAAAATGTGTGGCCTTTGATCCTGTGTTCATGCTTCTGAATGGCTATAAATTGTCATCTGAGCCTCCTGGGTGTTTTGAGAGTTGGGGATCAGCTGCGCTGGTGACTGCAGAGCCGAGAAGTGAGTAGCAAAGTGCCCTTGTGCTGTGGGGGCAGGTGCTCGGAAGCAGCAAACAGACGCCCATCTGCTGTCGCTCTCCCAGCTGTCCCACATGGGGACACGGGGTAAAGGCGAGAGGCATTAGTGGTACCTGAGTTCCTTTCCAGAGGCCTGCAAACACCGTGGCCTCTCATCAGTAGCAAAGCAAACTCCCTGCCTGTGCAGCTGTGAAGCATGTTGGCCCCGTGTCTCGGCGGGCATTGATGACCCTGACCCTGTAGGACAGAGCTGTAGAGGCTCACGCCAGAAAGGATTGACACTTAAAACCACAACCTGGCCGGTGCCATGGCATCGTTCCCCAGGGGTGCAGAACTACTGTGTCCTCGAAGAGCCACCTGTGGGGCTTGGCCCTCAGAAGCCACCCTCCCTACTTGACCTGGCTTGGGTTGTCACAGTAAGACCTGCGCTGCCCGTCAGTTTTTAATTAAGTATGTTGGTAAGGCAGGAGGTTCTCCTGCTTATTTTCTAAATTGAAAGTGTTTATGGTCTGTGGGAAGGGTCGGGTTTTGATGGCAGTGGCTTTGACTAATGGCTTGAGGGTCTGTCATTACCTCTAGAATGTGTCCGTGAGTGAAATGTGTTGAAAGAATAGGGTGGAGGAGATGAACACGGTGGGAGCTGTGAAGTTAAGTAGAGCAGGGTGGTCTTGAAGTTACAGGGGGACTTTCTTGGGGGCGCCGAAGAGCCAGAGGTTGAGCCAGTAGTGGGCAGGGCGGGGGCTTTCCTTGGGGGCGAGTAGTCCTAGTGTTGTCTTAGCAGTCAGAGGATGACACAGGAGGGCGTCTGGCCAGCCAGGGGAGCAGGCCACACAGCACTGAATGCGACCCAGAAGAGTGGAATCCATACCAAGCCTCAGCTCCTCAAGGACATCGAACAGTCGCAAATATGTGCACACCCAGTATCAGGGCACCTAAAGACCGTAAACAGACCCTAGCAGATGTGAGGGGAAGTAGACTATAGTAGATAAGAGGAGAGGACTTTATTACCCCACTGCCAGCAGTTAACAGATCAGCCCAACAGAAAATGAGCACAGCAGGTGCTGGACTGGAACCACACCAGGGGCTTTTCTGTTTCTGTCGGTGAGCAGCCGCTCTGACTAGAGCATGCCTGGAAAACCCAAGACATGATCTTCGCCATCGGAAAGCTTACCTGCCTGGTCTTCGAAGAGCAAATAAGAATGAGAGAACAAAGAGAACAGTTCACGTAGCACAAGAGATGCGGGTTGAGAAGGGACAAGGGTGTTGAAGGAGGCCGAGCTGTTCTGGAGGGTGCAGGTTTGTGGTGGGGAGGGAGGAGGAGAGAGCTCAGGGAGGGCCTGTGAGAGCCTGGGTGTCCGTCAGGAAGCTGAGGCCAGGTTAGAAGGCTCTTGGATGCCAAGTTGAGGCCCCTGGATTTCATCCTTTGGAACCTAGGAAGGGGACTGGCAGTTTGGAAGAGGGGAATGGGTTGAGTACAAGGGAAATGAGTCAGACCAATGACTAGAAGTGGAGTTGTGGGATAAGGAACCAGTGAGGCTACAGGAGATGGCTGTGTGAGCTGTCACGGGTGAAGGGGTGTGCTGGCGCAGGGGTTGGAGTTGACTTGGAGATTACCGGCTGAGGTGGACTGGACACAGGGAGATGCCCACGGTTGGGAAGACTTGGTATAAATGAACTTGTGGAGATCGCCTGGAGCTTGCACCTGACCTTACCAAGCATAGGTAGGACCTCTGGTAATGATGTATGTTATATATACTGTGCTCCCTGAGCTACCTTTATATTTTTTCAAATTGACGTAAAAAAATTAACAGCTTTGTAATCCAAGTGCACATCTAACTATCCCCCTCCTTTTTTTTTTTAACCTCAGGTTGACCCCAAAGATTGGCTTTCCATGGAGTGAAATCAGGAACATCTCTTTCAATGACAAAAAGTTTGTCATTAAGCCCATCGACAAGAAGGCGCCTGTAAGTTTTTGTGGATTCCAGGCTAGGGCTTACAGTTTCTCATTCTTAACAGCCAAATGTGTTTTCAGGATAACAGATTTCTGTGTATGACAGACACTTGTGTGCGTGCGTGGGCGGCAGGGGGAGGTGGGGTGCTGAAGGGATTGTCAGCAGGTTACACTGAAGGTCAAAGACCCCTTGAAGTAGAGGTACATGCTGGCCCAGGTGTCCCTCAATAGCTAGCTGACTGTCCCCTGACCTTTCAAGTGGTGTTCATTCCTGATGAAGGAAGGGGCAGTTCTGAGTCCTTGACCTTTGCCAGATGATAAGCATCTCATGAAATGCTGCATTTCTAGGCTTCTGAAATGTTGGTCTTCCTGTGGAAAACCAGCCTGCCTCTAGAGGGTGTACTGGGGGTGTAGGGGGCTCACACCTGTCTCCCTGGAAGCCAGTTGGGGCACACATGATTGCTACAAGCCTCAAGGGCCAGCATTAGCTTTCAGAGAGCTGTGTCTGCAGCTTACCCGTGTTAGGAAAAGTCAGACCTGTATCTGGAGCATTTCTGGTCCACATGGTCCTTCGTGCCTCACCTCCTTTCTCTTTCACAAATGTGCACGTCTGCTTTCCTCTGACCCCCTTCCGGCCCCCAGCCCGCTTTCTGCAGGCACCTTCTCCTTGCAGCTTATCGTGGGAGGTGGCTGCTCGCAATGCGGCTGGTGGGGGAGTCGGCCTGGGAGGGCTTCGCTGGAAAAGGGATTTCAGTTCCTGGAGTTTGAAGAATACAGACTGTGAACTAGTAATGGCAAAGACTGGTGTGTTACAGAAATTACATTTCAGTTTTATGTGTTCTGCTGACATTTAAATTTTCACCTGACGGCTCAGAAAATTTGAGACATGCATACTTCCATACACACTGTAGTGTGATGGAATGGGTGAGGATTTCATCTTCTAATCGGAAATCTGATCCTTTAAAAAAAAAAAAATGGCGTTTGAAGAATTCTCTCTTCCTCCTTAGAGACTGCTGCGATTTTTCCCAGAATCATAGATTGGAGAGGACTTGATGTCTTGGTTACAGTGTGGGGCTTAGAGAGGCCAGTGTGGGCTGTGGTCCAGACCGGGGCCGTCTGGAGCCTTCTGGGCTGGGATCTGCGGGGTGATGGGTACCCTGTGTGGAACAGCAAGTGGCTTTATTGTCCAACTGCTCCTCCCCACAGGCCGCTTAGTCCAGCGTGAGTGAAAACCAGAACTCTCAACGCGGTTCATGAAAGTATTTTCTCCTTTATTGAAAACGTTTCCTGCTGTTTGTAAACTCTTGACTCCTGTTCCAGGGGTAGTTGCGTAGTTGCTGACAATTAAAGCAGCATTTAATACAGACTCTCCAGCTCCGTGAAAACAGGCCGCATTCACATTCTGCACCATAGCCCGGGGGTCACGGTGTACCCATGTTAACGTGGGCCGTGAGATCAGGGCAGTCAGAGCGAGAAGATCCTGAGGGCCCCGGCTTGGCTGCTGTCTGCTCACAGGGTAGTGCTCGTTTTTCAGAACTTTTTTTAGACATGTGACTGACAGAAGCTAGCAGACTGGACTGGACTGGGCTATTTAAGGATTAAGTTGCATGTGTGTTTTGGCTTAAGTTTAACTTTTGAAAAGCTGCAGAATGTTTCCTAATCTTGAAATTCAAAGCAAAAGCAGTTGTAATGCTTCTGGTTGAATTAGTTGAGCATACTTTTACTATATACTAGTTTTATGTGGAGCCATTGATTAAAGAAAAAACAAGGAGAGAGAAGCATGTGTCGGTTGTGTACTGTGAGTCAGGGCTGTGCTCTAGGACTGTGTGCACAGCAGCAACAGAGTGGGCTTCCTGCCCTCGTAGAGCCTGCCTGCTGCTCAGAGCAGGCATGAGCACAGGTAAGGTGCTTTCTGGCCGTGAATCCCGTGGCGCAGCTGTATCTTATCACTGATGAGGATGAGATGGGGGCGGGGATGGGGGCCAGTGTGGCTGTTCCAGATGGTTGGGTCAGGAAGGCCTGACCAAGGCCGCAGACACTACATTGTCAGACTTCTTTCGTGAGGGTGGGGGTTCCACGGGAGAAGATGGTTTAGGGAACAAGTCCCCGTTCGCCTGTGCACCTCACCAGGCTCCCGCTTCCTCCTCCTGCGGCATTGCCCGCCTTCAGCCTCTGCACTTGGGGCAGCAGAAAATCACATTTCCAAGTTTAAACGTTCCCCGGAAAATGGACAGGGAAACCCCAGAGGTTCGAGTTGACTCACGGGTGAGGCTTGGGATTCCTTTTCTCAGGCTGACTTGGGGAGGGCACCCCTGGTCCCGGACAGTTTCCATGGCAAGCTCACAACTGAGCCATTGTCCTGTCATGCTCCCGATGACCAGGCATTTCCTGTAGAAAAGCCAGTTTCTCCTCCTGCCAGCTTGGATACTGCAGGGATGGGACCTGAAACATGGTGAACGTTCAAAGCCTCCGGTAGTCCTGTGGGGGGTTAAAACCAGCTCTGTCTACTTCAGAAAAGGCCTTTTGTTCCTGTGGTCTCATGGAAGAGGGAGAATGCTCTTGGGCAGCTACCTGTTCAACGGCTTGTGAAAACGGCCATTTGCCTGGGAGCAGCTCTGCCCTCAGCCAAGAGGGAGACCCTGAGGTAGGGCCTTTTGGGGGGAGTGTTCTAGAAGCTTCTGAGCTGGTGTTCGACAATTTTATGGCTACTTTTCTTTCTTCTCTTGTATTCTTAGGGACTTGGATTTATTTCCTTGAGCTTTCCTTTTGCCTCGAGTTTGTTTTTAGGATGCCTGTCTCTGCCAGAGTTTAGGAAGCCTGCCCACATTTCATCAGTGTTGTGGTTTTGCATTAGGAAGCGTGGGCTGGGTACTTGAATTTGGAAATCCTTAAATAAATATTGGTTTCAGTTTTTGTTTTTAACTTGAATCCAGAAACTAGCCTCCTTCAACGGCAGCCCAGGAAGTGTCCTCTGCCTCCTGCTTTCGCTGTCCCCAGCCATGTGCAGGCCTTGTCTTGGTGGTGATGTTACTTGCAGTGTCTGTCCTTTGATGGTTTTTAACTGACCTTGTTCTGAGAAGGAGTCAGTGCTAATCAGCGTTCCTTTGCAACGCTGAGGGGCATTGCAGAGGTCAGCACCTGCCTGGGGAGCATGTCTGTGTCTGTGTGGCCATCACAGAGGTAGGGACGATGCTTCTCTCACCTCTGCAGACTCTCTGCAGAGGCTCCCTGGGAAACCCAATGACTTGATAATAAGTGTGCAAAAGCACCACCCAGGAACTCTGGGCTCTCAGGGTCAACAGTGGTCTTTCCAGCATTTCTGGAACTGATGAAAAAAACCGAGAAGCTATGTAGGGCCTTCTGGGGCATGTTGGTTAGCACCCTGGCATGTCCCTTCCGGTTTCAGAAGTCACTGTGGAACACATCACACTGTTCCTTGTTTCAGCCACCCTTCCCCATTCCAGAGGTCAAAATCTGGATGCCAGGGGCCCGAAGATGAGAAGAGAAAGGGGAAAAAGAAGAGTAAGCAGACTGGCATTTTAAAATAACTTTTTTTTTTTTTTTTTTTTTTTTTTTTTAAGATTTTCTTTATTTGAGAGAAAGAGTGAGAGAGCATGAGAGGGGAGAAGGTCAGGAGAAGCAGACTGCCCATGGAGCTGGGAGCCCGATGCGGGACTTGATCCTGGGACTCCGGGATCATGACCTGAGCCGAAAGCAGTTGCTTAACCAACTGAACCACCCAGGCACCCTTTAAAATAACTTTTAACAAGAGTTTCTAAACCCTTTTTCCCCTCCCATCCCTTGCATTAATGGCAGAAGTAGCAAGAACTAGGAGGTAGGGTCGTGCGCTGTGCCTTTCCCACATGGCAGACTTCTACAGTCATAGTCCTGGTGTTCTCAGATACCGCATTCTGTTCTTTCCAGGAAGGCTCTTCCCCTAGCAGTTCTGTCAGGTGGCCAGCGGTCTGTGAGCGAGCCTCTGTGTACCAGGCACCCCCTGTCCTGCCTGACCCCATTCTAAGTCCTGACAAACAGTATCTGGGTTAATCCTCTGAATAGTCTTGTTAGGTTACTGTCCACCCCACCACACAAGGTGTCCGGACTCCGAGGAAGTGACTCACTCAAGGTCCCAGGCTCTGACGTGGCGTGCTGTGTGAACGCCAGCACCCAGTAAATCTAGGCCGTTGGTTGGGTCCCAGGGATACAGAGGGGAATGACCCAGCCCTGCTGTCGGGGGAGCTGCCCAACCAATGGAAGACAGAGACCAAAACAAGTCGGTCCGGGGAAGTGCTCGCACCTCCACCGAGTGCACGGGCCACAGGAGGTGTGCCAGTTAACCTGGGAGAAGGAGGGCTCCCGCGGACAGAAGATGATGCCTCGGTGTCGCCGCCTCAGGTGCAGTGTCCTTGGGTCTGTGGGGCTGGACATGACAGCCCAAGCAGCGGGGCTGCTGGGAGCAAGTCAGTTTGTGGGCATGAAAGTACAGTTTTAGGTGAGCAGAGGGCAGACTGGGGCTGCTGGGCCCGAGCTCTCCACCCGTGCCTGGCCCTGGCGTCTGTACCTGGGCTGGAGCTAGCCCGGCTGGCGTCGGGCATCATGTAGTGACCCGACGGATGCACTGGTGGCCGCATGGGGGCCAAGGGTTAAGGCTGAGGAGACCAGACGCTCCAGTAGAAGTTGCTTACTGCAGGCAGGATGGGGGGACGGTGGCTGAAGACGGGGCGACTCTGGGCCTCAGTCCTGCTTCTCCCAAGGCCATGAGACCTCTTGCCCTGGAGAGGCCTTCCCCTACCCCACCCCCGCCAGAGAGGCGGCTTCAGGGTGTGTGCGCGTGCACAGCCGCAAGGACATACAGTTGCCCTCTTTGTCCCAGAGAATCCAAATCCCACGGCACCAGGAACTTTCTGTCGGGTCACTTGGAGTCAGTGGCTTTTCCTTGAAGTCCCTTTCTGGCCCCATACTCTGCTACATTTGTCCTTTTGGAAAAGGTCACCTAGAACTTTGGGACGTCGGGTTTGCAGGAGGAAAGCCAGAGTCCGCCCTGTTCTGTCCTGCAGGACTTCGTGTTCTATGCCCCCCGCCTGCGCATTAACAAGCGGATCCTCCAGCTCTGCATGGGGAACCACGAGCTGTACATGCGTCGCAGGAAGCCCGACACCATCGAGGTGCAGCAGATGAAGGCCCAGGCCCGGGAGGAGAAGCACCAGAAGCAGCTGGAGCGGTGAGCGGGGCAGAGGCCAGCGTGACATCCGGGCCCGTCAGGCAGCATCTGTGGGGCCCACATGGCTCCCCAGCAGAGGAGCCAGGGGAGCACCACCCAACAGACACGGGGGGAGCGTCAGGGGACCGGGGCCTTCGGGAGTTACTGTGTGGGCCTGAGGGTCCGCCCCAGGAGCTGCCTTGCCAGGCCGGGCAGTGGTAGAGCCCAGGAGGGGAGTGAGTGCCCAGGGTTGCTGCTGCTGCCTCCTGGGGCCTGGACTGTGTTGACAGGGCGGGTGCCTGCCAGCGTCTAAACCTCCCTGTGCCCCCTGCCCCCAACAGGCAGCAGCTGGAAACCGAGAAGAAGAGGAGAGAGACTGTGGAGAGAGAGAAGGAGCAGATGATGCGGGAGAAGGAGGAGCTGATGCTTAGGCTGCAGGACTACGAGCAGAAAACCAAGAAGGCAGAGAAAGGTGGGTTTGCACCCAGTGCTCGTGTGTGCAGGGGTGCGCTCCGCAGCGAGGGCAGATGGGCTGTCGGCACACCCACAGCCAGCAAGGTCTCGGTTAACAGAGCACCCACCCTAGAGGCTGGAGGCTGAGAGCTGACCATGGGTGTTTGGATTAGAAGATAATCTTTTGATTATCTTGATACATTCCATGCTTTGCTGCTTCTGTGCTGAATGCTTTATGCTTATTATCTTTTTAAATTTTCTCTCCCTCCTTTGAGGTTAGTACTGAGTTATCCCCATTTTCCCAATGACAGTGTTAAGGTTTACCAGGTAAATTAATTTGCCTGACGTCAACAGCGTGAGTGCCCAAACCATGCTCCATTGCCCCCTGTCTTACAAACTAAGACCTGAGAGAGTGGTGTGGTTTCCGTGTGTCCGCCAGTCTACCCCAGCCCTGGCCAGGGGAGGGAGAAACCCTCCCTAGCAGTTTCTAACTGCCGCAAGTACGGTGTGTGCGCAGTAGGGAACGCACCCCACTGTACAGAGGTTCCCCCGTTCAGTGCTTCATAGCTTGTGGTATGAGTCTCGACCTGAACCCCATGCCATGCGTCCAGGCTGGGAATTCAGGGGCCTGTGCTTTCAGAACTGTCAGACCAGATTCAGAGAGCCCTGCAGCTGGAGGAGGAGAGGAAGCGTGCCCAGGAGGAGGCGGAGCGCCTGGAGGCTGACCGCGTTGCCGCTCTGCGGGCCAAGGAGGAGCTGGAGAGGCAGGCAGCAGATCAGATAAAGAGCCAGGAGCAGCTGGTAGGAGCTCCGAGTTTCACGATGCTGAATTATGGAGAGGCTGCCTCTGGGGATGAAAAAATGACACCTGCCTTACAACTGTTTGTGTCTGGGGCTGTAAAGTGATCTGGCTGGAGAGAGGAAAGCCCAGTGGGAGGGGCTGTGCTGGGGGGTGGGCTTCAGGTGGCCATGGTGCAGCCGTCGGGGCGAGGTGGGGGTCGGGGGGCAGATGTGGTGGTCTGGGCGAGGCATGGCCTTGAGGACACAGTCGGCAGCCATGGGCACTGCTGACCGGGTAGGAGGTGGAGACAAGGCCAGTCACCAAAATATGAGGCTGTCCATTTGCAAGAGGGCGCTCCCCAAAGACCCCAGAAATAATTTCAGCTTCATGCCCTCCACCAGGCCGCAGAGCTGGCAGAGTACACCGCCAAGATTGCCCTCTTGGAGGAGGCGCGGCGGCGCAAGGAGGACGAGGTCGAGGAGTGGCAGCACAGGGTGAGTCTGTGTGTGCAGCACTCTGGGCGGGCCCCGCTGTGGCAGCCGGAAGATGGCCTGGGGCCAGGCCGGGGTCTTGCAGAGAAAGGCTCGGGATGCCTTGTAGCGCTCTGCCAATCCTAGCTGTGCTTCTTAGGCCGAAATCCCCATAGGAATGGGCTTGCCCTGTGCACTGGGGAGTCCGCTGTTGGATTAGCAGGAAACAAGGAGCCTCTTGTTGATTTCCACCTACTTTGTTCTGGCCACCCCAAACTGTTGACCCCCATCAGGCAGCCCCCATCGGGAGCTAGCTTTAAATCTGATCATGTGGTCACTCCTAGCAACAGGCCATAGCATCTCAAGACTGCCTCTCCTGACCACTGGTGTATGCTGCATGGCACCATGGAAAGATCTGGATTTGGCAGTCTCGAGATGGGTGCAAGGGTCCCAACTCTGCTGTTACTCACTGTGTGATGGAGCAAGTGGCCTGACCTCTCTGAGCCTCCATTTCCTTGCTACAGATGGGGAGTAATAGCCAGCCTGGAAGGTTGCCCTGAGGGCCACCCCCACAGAGAGGGTGAATAAATCGTAGTTATAACAGGAAGAACTGTGTCCCATTGCAGTGTCCAGAGCCTTTTCTCTCCAGCTGAGCCCCCATATACCGGGCAACCATGGCCCCCCAGGGGAGCTTTAGATATGTCCAGCGTAGACATCTGCCGAGCTGCGGCAGCTCCCCACCCCTGCCCTCCCACCTGTTCTTGCCCATACTTCCCCATCTGCACGGACCCCTCCTGGGGACACTTGGTGCCTCTCCTCACCACTCGTACGCCCCACCCCATGAACGTAGGCTGCATGCAAAAGACTTCGGTCCTTAGGTTTTTAGTAAAAGTGTTCACTGAGAAAAGCTGGTTGCAGAATAGGTTCAAACTAAGCTCATCTCCCAGGCTGGAGTGGCAACGAGGTGGGCATGACTGGGGATGTGTATCCAAGAGAAGTTACTGGAAGGTTTAGGGGTAGGTAGGAAAGTGCTTGAGTACTGTGCCCACAAACAGTGAGGAGGTTGAGAAATAGTGGCCACACAAGGAAAGAGAATAAAGCTGCACTCTAAAATTGGAGAGTGGCATTTTCTAGTGGCTGGAGGATCTTTGTTTCTTTAATAATTTCCCTCCTTTTTTCAAAAACACAATGAACATATATTAGAATCAGACACAGAAAAAATGTTACAGTTCTTTAAAAAAAAAAAAAAGTCAAGCTCCTGACATGACTTTCTTCTCTGCGTACTGTGCACGTGATTGAGAATCGCTTGCAGGATCCGGAGCCCCAGACTCGGACGAGGTCGGGCAGACCCCACACGGGGATGCTGCTTCTCAGCCCCGGTCCCCTCCTCCGCTCTGTGCCGCTAAGGCCACGTGCATCCAGCCTGCCCCGGGGAAGGCAGGGGAGGAGTGAGAGAAGGTGCAGAAGCCTTGTTGTTAGAGAAAAGGGGATTCTTCCAAAAATGGTCTAAACTGGGTTGTTGGTGACAACTTGTCACCTGTGGGCTGGTTGCTTTCAAAGGCCAAAGAAGCCCAGGATGACCTGGTGAAGACCAAGGAGGAGCTGCACCTGGTGATGACAGCCCCGCCGCCGCCCCCACCCCCGGTCTATGAGCCAGTGAGCTACCACGTGCAGGACAACCTGCAGGACGAGGGCACGGAGTACACAGGCTACAGCGCCGAGCTGTCCAGCGAGGGCATCCTGGATGACCGCAACGAGGAGAAGCGCATCACTGAGGCCGAGAAGAACGAGCGGGTGCAGCGGCAACTAATGGTGAGGGCGCCAGGGTGGCGCTGGCAGCAGACCGGGACCGGCGCTGGGGCTGGGTGGGGGGCATCCCACCCAGCTCCCCATGCCCTGGAACCGCACCTGACCCGAGCTGCTTCCCCTTGCAGACCCTGACGAATGAGCTGTCCCAGGCCCGAGACGAGAACAAGAGGACCCACAATGACATCATCCACAACGAGAACATGCGGCAAGGCCGGGACAAGTACAAGACCCTGCGGCAGATCCGGCAGGGCAACACCAAGCAGCGCATCGACGAGTTTGAGGCCATGTGAGGCCTGGCCAGGACTGGGGCAGGGGTGGGGCCTCACGGCTGAGCTTGCGGAAGGTCGCGGTCAGACTGTGAAGCTAGTGTTTGTAGTGCTTTGAATCTAGGACCCCCCTCCCCTCGTCGTATTCCAGTTCCTTTAAAAAGAGAGTAGTTATTGCAGTGGGAATAGTCTAAGGCTGGGGTCAGTGGACGCTTCCCTGGTTTATTTTTCCCCGTTGTATCATAGTGCCAAACAGGCCTGATTCTATTACTGCTGTTGAATCACTTCCTGTTCCGTGTTTGCAGCGGGACTGACTGAATTAAGGAAAGAGCCTGTAAAGTGTGAGTAACAAACTCCCTGCTGTGGTGTGTGAGACAAGGTTCGGTGTAATTAAAACCACATCGTGGCTTAGAGTACGTGCCATACTATCTTCTGCATTTAAAATGAGCTCAGATTGATTTTTTAATTTCCATGAAGGATCCATCGTTGTATATTTTTGTTTTGAGAGGTGGAAATTATTTTGAAAACCATCTAAAGCATTCTCACACACATGCACACAGTGATTTTTCTTCTTTGCTCCTTCAGTTTGGGATAGTAGTACAGGGAGGACACTCTAGCCTTGGAGAAACTTGGGTTTTGTTTTTGCTTTACAGAGGGCTGCCTTGTTGGACTCACACCTAATTAATGATCAGCTGTAGAGAATAGTATTTATATATGAGTGACAATATGGGTTTGTAACATTAGTTTAAAAAAGGGAAAGTTTCATTCTGTATATTTTGTTACCTTTTACAGAATAAAAGAATTACGTATTAAAAACCATGTAACCATGGCACTTGATCTGACGTGAGGGCAGGAAGGAGGTAGATAACTGCTGTAATCACATCTGTAAAAATGATTTTTTTCTTACTTTGTTCCTTGTGCGTGGAACTGTGCACATGACGGTTTTCTATCCGAGCTTGTTTGCAAAAGAGACACATGCTGTTTGGCTCATCCAGACTCCAGCTAGGAAGGGACTCTTCCCACCTGGTATTGTCCCTGTTACCACAAGAAGAACCTGTTCTGACCTCGCCAGTTCTCTGCCACATCCTTGAAAATCTGTCAGAATGTCAGCGCGCTCTTGCCACTGGCTCCTTTCATGCTCGGCTGTGTCCTTTTCCTTTTCAGCTAAGAGCCGTGCGCAGATGAGCCCCGCACCACCGACTAGAGAAATAAAAGCTGTGCAAGGCAAGAGGCGGCAGTGGGTGTGTCCTTGTGCGTGTTGGGGCGAGGCGGGGTGGGGGGCCCTCCTGCGGGCTCTCCCTGGACTTGGGCGCTGACCACCCTGAATGAGGAGTCCCTCCACAGCATGGAACAGGAGGGACCGGATACCCGCCAGGCTCCTCTAGTTCTCCTTCCAGTGCATAGAACTAGGCCGTAATTTTTAGTTTGATACGAACTGGGGGACCGAGATAACGAACATTTACTGAAATCTGGCCCTTTTCCACGTGTGTCAAAGCACAGAAAAACAAACGGAGACATATTTCTAGAACCAGTGCTCTGTTTGGTGTAAATACAGAAAGACATGGAAGAACATTTGGGCTCCGTGACGGAGCTGCAGGCGGCAAGTGTCCAGGCCCACGTCCTCAGCTAACTTGCAGGCCTGTGGCACTTGAACTTCTCACCACAGACTGGAACCCTGGCTTCAGTGCAGGGTGAGTGTCATGTCTGTCCACAGATTGGGGCTTTCCAGAACTTTCTGCCACCGATGCGCTGACTGTGAGCAGGAGTCCTCACCGGCTACGTCTTCCTCTGTGAAGAGGGTGAAGCAGCAAATTAGTAAGGGGTGAAACGCATACCCCTTACCAGCCTTCTCGGCTTTTTAAAATGAGCAACTTTTGTAAAAGTATTTTTAACCTCAAGACCATATGAAAATGCCAACCACTGGTGAGGAAGAGCAAGCCCCCCTCCACCCCAACACCCCAACTCCATACTCAGGACACACAGCATCCCTGAATTCTGTGCAGCCTCAAGAGCCCAAAGCTGCTGCCTTTCCCACAGTTTGAAAGAAGACATTTGGGGGGGGTTGGCTCTTCAAGAAGGGGACTTGAACGTCCTAACACAGAGGATGGCTGTGGTTTGGCAAGGTGGTCTCAGACCTGGGGCCAGATTTGCAGATGGAAAGGAATCCCTTACAGGACAGGGAGTGTGTCCTTATTTTCAAAGATTTACCCATTTATTTTAGAGGGAGAGCACAAGCAGGGGGAGAGACCGGAGACAAGCGGACTCCCCACTGAGCAGAGAGCCAGACGGGGGGCTGATCCCAGGACGCTGAGATCAGGACTTGGAGGAAGCTCAGTGGACTGACCGCGCAGGGGTCTCTGGAGAGTGAATCTGGCTTGTCTTTGGAGGTCCTGGAGACGTGCTTGTGTTTTTGGTTGGCCCGGTGTTTTGAGGGGCACCAATGGTAGGGACCAGGGTGAGCAGCCCTCCCCACGAAGGGCTCGCCCCGACGCGATGCCAGCAGCACTGAAAAGCATCACCCTTTTGTCCCGCTCTTAATGAAATACTTCTGAATTGCCATGTTTGGATTAAGACATTTTTCTTTTAAGAAATTAATCCTTTTATGATTGACGCCAGAGACAAAAGCACACTGTACCCTGGCCATTTTGAGGCCTGTAATTTTTGTTTCTTTAGCAGATCTAAATCTGATGTTAAGTGGCTGAAACACTTGGCTGTATTACCGCTCCATGCGGGGTAAGACCTGGATGCAGCAGCCTCCAGTTACGGTGGGAGAGGCCGTTTCCAAGCCAGTTAAATCACCTGCGAACGTGGAAGCATGACTGTCTTTTCAGTGGTCACCATGTAAGATCTCTGTTAAGGATAAAACATGCCACTTAGGCCCGATAATCTCAGACTTACCAGAACTGAGCCTGGCTTCTCCCAGCAAGCGGTCGTTCACACCAAAGACGGCCTGGTCCCAGACGGTTAATTCCAGGCTTGACTGTCTCAGCTGGGAAGGGCTCACGCCGTTGAACACGAAGGAGTGCTTCCACTGGGGACAAGCTTGCTTCTTCGCGACCGGGGACTTCAGTTTCAGTTTCTGTTGGTCTGGCAGAGTGAGACAGCTGCAGGAGGGAGACAGTGGCTCTGGAACGCCGGCCCTGCCCGGCCCCCTCCCCTGGTGGTGCTGGCCATTGTGGGACCAAGGGCTAGATCTACTCCAAAAGAAAAATTCTAAGGAGTGAGAATGCGAATCCTAAGATTGGCCATGTGGACTCTCCCTAGGATGTTCCGGATTTAGGGCTGAATTCACCAGACGCAGGGGTCCCAGGCCACTGTGCCCTTTGTTTTAATCCCCCTCCTTGACCACCAGGCAAAGTATGGCTTAGACCTGCCACTCAGGGACCAGGACTCTGCGCTCACATTTTCTCCCTTTAACCCTGTTCTCAGGAAATTAGGCCACATAACTTGCTCAAGGTCCTGCAGTAGTGGCGGAGTGAGGACAGGAATGCAGATCTTGGCATGGTAAGCCAGCCTTTCCCATTATGTCACTCACCAGGGACACAGTAGTTCTGTATAATTAATGGTGTTTGCTTGACTTTTGGAGATCGCAGCAACACCCCGATGGTAAGCATGGCCTAAGCAGAGCCTACCTTACTGTTCATCCAAGAGGAGATGCTCAGACAAGGGAACAGTACCAACCCCACTGCTTTCTCCAAACTCTGAGTCCGAAAATGCCGACGTAGTAACAAGGACCTAAAAGCTCTGGGTTTCAGGTTAAAATACAGTGTTCTGCATCTAGCCTCAGCAGGGCTAAATCCCACGAATTATTGGAAATCAGAGTCCTACACATGGTGTTGGATTTTCAGGGAAAAGCTAAGATACAAGTTCAGAATGGCTTGCACTTTTTGGTGCTTGCTGTAGTTTCTAGGACCATGTTGTATGTATGTACAGATTATCAGCAAATAGTTGATTAAATATACTACTTACCCCTTAACGAATGAGTTTAGGGTGCCATCTGACCGCACCGGCAAATTCTTGGCTCCCAGCACGACCAAACAAAGCTGACCGTTAGGGGATGGCCCATCTGTCCCTGGAAGGAAAGCCGGCATTTGCTGTGAGCCCTGCTTCACACAGAGCCTGCAGTGCCATCACCCCAAAACTGACAGCTCAGCGGGAGCCTGTGTGACAGCCTTGAGAGCCCAAGAGATCAGACAGGAAGAGTTGTCTATCCATAAGGGAAGGCGCTGCCCACAAGCTGTCCCCCTGCAAGGCCAACTCGGTGATGGGGGGGGGGCCGGGAGCGCTCCCTAAAATCCTGAGAAGCTACAAAGATAATAGGGAGCTGTGGAGAGGAAGGATGTAGAGGTTTTAGTCACGGGCAGGCAGTGGTTTTGGGGAAAGGAGGGGCCCCGTGACTCCTGTTCCAGGGTGTGGGCCACCGGGGGCCCCGTGAGCTCCGGCCCAGACTCTTCCTCTTTCAGGCAAGTAAGAGATCACTAAATACATCACGGGGTTCTGTGTTCTTCTTCACCTTCTTCTCTTCCACACACTCCACTTTCTTTAGTAAAATCTCCCATTAGGTCCTCGAGAGCCTGTCCTTGATCCCTTCTCTTGCTGGGCAGCAGCTCATGGAACTTGGGAGCGGGGACGCATTCACTCAGCGCGGCAGGCCCCTGCGCCTCGACATGCACTCTCGGTTCGCAAGGAGTCACCCTCCCAACTAATGCAGGTAGTTAGGGGAGCGCTCCCTCTTCCAGAGGGCCAGCAGCGGGACTGTCCGAGCCAGGCCCCGGGCAGGAAAGCCCCCGAGCTGGTGTCCTAAGAGCCCTGTAAAGTGGGCATCAAAGGCCTGGACTGCTCTGGTCCCTTGTTCCCTTCCAAACCATGGGTCCCAAGAACCCACTTTTCAGGCTGAGCTTTACAAATCTTGGCAAGTTACTGGAGCGCTGCAGGATTAGTGGGTGGCAGCAGGGAAGCCCTCAGCCCACCTGCTGTTCAGGCTTTGGAGATAGTGACAGATGGACATTCATGGGGCTGGAGGCTGCCTACCTTCTTGGGTCTCCTGGAGCTTTCTGGGCCCTGTAGGGAAGACCAGTTTGGCCCGGACTGCAAGTTCTCCATTATTGGGAAGAAAGCTGTCTTCGAGTTTCTCTGCCTGGAGGAAAGAGTCAGAACTCAGAGGCAGGATTCCTCAGCCCTCAGAACTTTCTGGGCTCCTCTGATTGCCCCAGCTCTGTCCGTAAGTGTCCCACATCCACCCCACCCCAGTCACTCTGCAGGCTGGGGAGTGCCGTGGGCTGGACTAGATGTGCCCGTGGCAGGACTGGTCTTTCTTCCATTTGTGGTGACTCTCTATTCCCACCCTGTGCCTTGAGGAGGTGCTCAAAGGCTCTGGCACAGTCCCATAGTATAGTCCTAAGAAAACTTGCACCCAGCCAGAGTTTGAAGAAGGTGAATAAAATTGAGCCCCTTGGGTCACCTGGGTGGCTCAGTGGGTTAAGCCTCTGCTTTCAGCTCAGGTCATGATCTCAGGGTCCTGGGATCGAGCCCCACATCGGGCTCTCTGCTCAGCAGGGAGCCTGCTTCCTCCTCTCTCTCTGCCTGCCTCTCTGCCTACTTGTGATCTCTGTCAAATAAGTAAATAAATCTTAAAAAAAAAAAATCGAGCCCCTCTAGCTCAGTGGACTCAGCGAGGACTCCTAGGAGAGGGCGGGGCTGGCCTCTGCCTGCTCTGCTGTGACTCTGCTTGGGCTCCTGACTGCCTCCCAGGAAGGAGGCCCTCACGTGCCAGAGGAGATAAAGTTGCCTCTACCCTCAGCTTTGGGAACCCTGTGCTAACCCCATGGGCTCCTCCTGTAGGTGCCGAGGGGGCAGGCCTATAAGCAGGACACTCCCAATCCAGCCAGGGGGTCTATAGCTGGTATTAGGAAGGATGTCTTTCAGCCTGGCACCTTCTGCTCCCCTTCCTCTTCCCAGCAGCCTTGTGGCGGGCTAATCTTGTCCTGAGCAAGGGGCCTAGAGGGAACAGACGGGCAGGGCACCCAAGTATAGGATCCTGGGGGAAAGCACACAGGCAGGGAAAATCATGAAAAGTGAAAATCAGGAAAGCCTCCATGGAGGAGGTGGGATTTCAGCTAAGTCTTAGGCACACTGTGGCTGGAAGGAAGCATGCCAAGTAGACATCCCAAGTGGGAGTCCGAGGACAGGCTCTGTCGAAAGGTCAGTATGGGGACCCAGAGGTGGGGC